ATCGCTGGCTAGAGCAGAGGGGAGGAGACTTTAAAACATACCGCTAGTGTGTGTGTTAAATACAGCACTGAACTGCTCCTGTCCGTGTGTTGTTGTAGCTCCATGAGGTAGTTTTTATTTTAAAACTCGGAACCAGTCTGGCCGTTCTGCTCTCGACGCACGTTGTGACTGTCCCGCCGCACCGCGGGGTGGTTTATTTAGGAAGGAAGCAGCGGTTAAGAAGTGAAAAATGGTATTGAGTCCCTTCTGTCGGGGCTTGGGAGCAAAGCCACGCCGCCCTTCTCAGAGCAGCGTAGCACTAGGGTCCCCCCTTCCCCTGGCTGAAGGGCAACGCTACTTGTGTGGCTTTTTTTCTTTTCTCTGAAGGGAGGCCTCTTTCTGACAGCACCCTAGATTGGTGTTTCTGGCCCCCTCCCGTTTCCCCTCGCAGCAGTGCAGGGTCTCGCAGCCTGCGGAGCAGAGGGTGGGCTGAGGGGAAACACCCCCACTCACCTTACGGCCATTTCACAATTCTCTGTGAAATAGTTTATAGTTTATATCCTAATGTTACAAGAGGCATCTCAAAACAGCGTCTCTGAAAGTGATCGGAGGAGGATATTCCTCTGTTCTGTATTACTGGGAACAGTTTGCCAGCAGTCGGTTCTGCCTTTTGCTTGTGTTTCTGTCCGTGTTATTTACTGCTTTGTTGCACAACTGCAGGTATGAGAAATAAAAGAACCACAGCTTTAAAAATGTGACCTTGAAGTTACGAAGTTGGGTTGGAAATTTGAAGAAAGACATAGCACCTGCAAATGCACTTTACCTCCTTAAAAAACCCCCATAACTGGCCTGCATCTGGCATTTGTATCTGTAACACAAGATAAACAATTATAAACACGAAAAGCAAAAGACATTCCATCTTATCTTTTTAAGGACTATTAAACATTTGGGCATGTTGCTGAGAATTGGTATAAATACACATTTTTAATCTAGTCAGGCAAAACAAGGAACTCTTTGGGCTTGCCAGGAGACATTGAGACTTGAGCTGGATTGGGTTGTCTGAAAGGTCAGCTCCAAATTTAGAGTGTAGGTCCCACAGTTTAATAGATTGCAGGTGGATTAGCTTGGTGTGAGGATCCTGTGGGAAGAACTTTATTCGAAAGTCCGGGGCTAGTGCTAAGGTATTTTAAAGGATGGCAAATGTAACTTGGAGGTAAATAGATTTGAATTCTGAGCAGATGTTAATTTGTTAATTATTCAAATGGCTGAATGTGTTGGGTTTTGGTCTGGTTTTTGGTTTTTTTGGTTTTTTTTTTTTCTTCCCCCTGTTCTAGTCCAAGAAAAAAGGTCTGAGCTTTGAGGAGAAGAGAGCTCGCATGATGGAGATCTTTTTTCAAACAGTAAGTAACTTGTAACTGTCCTGCATTTACACTGGTGGGAAAACAGGTCCTAAAAGGAGCTTAACTGTAAATGTAGATGAAGTCTGTATATCCCACTATGCACTTCACTGATGCCCTGTGTCACCAATGTATAATTTACAAGGACAGAGCTTGATTCACGTAGCTTCTGATCAGGTGGCTCGTTCCCAGGTGGAGCCAGGGCGTGAAGGTGCACAGGTGTTGTTAAATGCTCGATGTGCTCCCTATTCAAACCTTCTCATTTTGAGTGTGTTACCATAAGAGGGATAGCAGGAGATTTGCGTTACCTCACTGCTCTTTATGGGAGGAAGAAGAAGAAATCTGAGTGTTAGAAAAGAGAAGAGCAGACCTGGAAGAGATCAGTCGGGAGAAGAAACCCGAAGATCGAGAAGCAGAGCTACAATTATATTGGTGACATAAGTAATTCACAATATTTCACCAATTAAAAAAAATATTGTGACATAGCATTGTGACATTTGAGTACTGGTGCTGACAATCGAACTTTGGCTCTGTCTGCCCTAAAGGGTTAACAGTCTGACCTCAGGCAAGATACGGTGACTTTAGAGTACCAAAGAGAAGAACAGGGCTTCTTACAATAAAAGTCTTTTTTTTTTTAATTCGCAGAATGTTCTAATTCTATGGAGGGATATGCAGCCTATTTCCCTAGCAGAACAGAAACATGCAATGTATTTCCTGCTTGCTTTTGTTGGCATTGATTTAGTGTAAAAACCACTCAGGCTTAGATGGTGCTGTCATTTGGAGCTAAAGTGCTTTTATGTTTTGCACAGAAAGACGTGTTCCAGTTGAAGGATATAGAGAAGATCGCCCCAAAAGAAAAAGGGATTAGTAAGTGTTTACAAAAGTTGTTTCTCTTGAGCCATTTATCATTTTTGTGACAGGTCATACAGGGTAAATTTTCCTGGCTAAAATTTTAGGTTTGTGACTGTAATATTAATGCAAAAAGTAGCTAGAAAGGGAGGCTGGTCAATGGCAGGGCTGTAGCATTGGAAGTTATGTCAACCTACCTTGGATTGCTAATGTTTGTCACTTATGTTAGGTGTTAGGGATAAGATGGGAAATGATTAGAATGTCACAGCTAACTCCAAGTTACCCAATAAAATATGGGATGAGGTTTTTCCTAGGCACTGAGATGCCTGACTTGCAGTGACTTTCAGTCCATGAAATTGTTATGTGTACTCAGGTAAAAGTAAACAGGTAGTAAACAGAGGGTTCAAATGTCTGTCTGTTATGTCACAAATATCTTAAAATGTTAGTCCAGATGTACATGGTCAATGTTCTGTTGAGCTTTTCCCCAAAAAATGGCTGGACAGCTGTAAATGGAAGGCGTTTGTCTTTTCAATGAAAGCTTTCCTGATGAGATCCACTGGTGTAGGATTAGGTCCAAGAGGATTTATCTTGTGTTGTTGGGTTGTTCTATATATTCCTCATTCTGCTTCCTTCTATGCTCATTGACAAAAGGGGGACGAAGCGTCATGTTTGTGTCGTTGCCACTGTCCTTGACTAGCATATCTTTGTGGCACGGCAAGAGTAAACGAACGTGTTGAAAGAAGTGCAGTCATAGGTAAATATCACAAAACAGTGTTTTTCAGTTATGTCAGCAGCTAACAGAGGAACTTACAGGCTTCTGAAGAGGTGTGGTGCTGTCTTGATTGGATGTCAATGCATATGTTTAATTGTGATTTGCAGGAGGAGTATGCAAAACAGTTAATGCAAGCAATGGAATTCCATATTTAAAAATCTGGAGTGTAGAGTTTCTAAAACCATTAACACCTTTGAGTAGTCCAAATTCATCCTGCTTCTGAATATGAAGGCATTTAGCCACACAACCCAAGCCCCAGTTACTCTTAAAAGAAAAATATCTAGCCTATGGAAACATCTCCATACTGGCATCCAGCCTATAGCTTCCGAAAGGTTGGATGTTCCTGATCTGGGATCCCCTTTTCAGTCAGACACTAAAAGCCCATAATTTGCTGAAAAGTCTTTATATCTGCAACACTTGAGGATAATAATAACTACTTTGCTTTATTGAACAGGTATCATCTTTTAAATGGTGAATTATACCACACATTTGCTAGAAAATGGATAATTATGTTCAGGAGTGTTTTGGAACCTTCTGACTGCAGATGACTTTTTGTATTGGAACTGAATATAATTAAAAGTAAAATCTGCCCCCCTGGGTCTGTAGACAGATGGCTTCAGTGCCACTGCTGCTGTTTAGTGCTTTGATGAACATTACAAAGTGAAATGTAATTACACTCCTAATTAAGAAATTATAAGTTAATCCACATTAGAATTAAGCTTGCAAGACCACTTCTTAAGTGCCCTCTCATGAGTTTGTTCTGGTATTGTACATATGCATGTATGGTTTATGATACTTGTGAGCGGTGTTTTACAAACATCTGGTAGCAGACTGTATAGAAGAGCAGCCTTTATGTATGAACTGCTGGTTTCGAAAGGATTCATTCCTTCAAGTGAAGCATCAGGCATGGTGTCCTCTTGAAATTACCCAGCTAGCTGACATCACAGTAAAATATTAATACTTGTAGGTGATGGCTTATGGTACTCATAGTTCTTCATAGTTTACACGCTATGTAGTTCTAATTTGGTATTTTGCTTTTAATAGCCTCGATGTCGGTGAAAGAGATTCTGCAAAGCTTAGTCGATGATGGCATGGTGGACACTGATAGAATTGGAACTTCCAATTATTTCTGGGCATTTCCAAGTAAAGCTCTTCATGCCAGGAAGCGTAAATTGGAAGAACTGGAGTCTCAGGTAAATCTATTTTAAGGAAAGTACTTGTTCTACCTGAATGGGTTTGCTTTTTCCTTATACCCTCTTGTCATTCTTCTTCATATTGTGCTCTTGTGTGCATATTTGTATGTGCACACACACAGATTTTATTATAGGAATCATCTGGTATGCACCGTATGACATTCCTTCTCATCTTGCTATCACTTCAGAAAAGTTTTGGAGGTTGTTCTTGTTGGAGCTTGAGAAAACTTGTCTACTTGCCACTGAAAGCATGTTATTCATGATGCAAAATATAATTTAAGGACTTCCTCTAAATATTCAGGCAGCATATGCTTTTATGTGTCTTTGTGTAATGTAGGCCATCATGTGGTAATGGTCTAAAAGCCATGAGAGGACTGAAATGGATATCCCAAGTAAATGTGGCAATGGTTTCTGCTTCTGGCCGTTGTGCTTTCCTGTCTGCTTTTATCGGTAGCTTAATTTGTGAGCACTTGTGTAATCTCATATTGCACTTTTAGTAGGAGAGAAGAGCAAATTGGTCATGATCTTCTGCAGAAGAACAAGGCATCTTCTGTTGCACCATTGCTGTTCTATTGATCCGGTTCTTTGCTACATTTTAGGAACTGTCTTTCTTGCTTCTTGTAATTGGGGTGGGATAGTATCTATTCATCAGTTTATTTGCAGCTGGAGTACATGATAACAAGATCAATAAACTAGCTTTGTGGTCCCATTGCACCACAACACTCCCACCTTTTCCCATGCTTATTTAGCATTATGTCCATTCATCAAAGAATCATTTGAATTAAACTTACTGGTACCCTCTGAACATTTTTACAGACATTGTTTTCTTCACACATAGCTCCGGTGTCATCATTGCCATTTTATGTACAGTGTTGTCACCTTCAGCTACTTCTCTAAAGCTCCAAATTAATAGTATAAAAAAAAGTTTTTTCCCCAACATGAAATGAAAAAGCAGTTTGTGAATCTGAGGCAGATTCACCAAAGCACATTACGTAGCTTGATCAATGCAGTTGAAATTGCTTGTTTATGGGTAGAGTGACCAGCTGAGATGTTGTTAGTTGTCCCTTGCTATGCTGTCATTGCTTGTAAATCTCAGTCATTACTAAACTGAAAGTGTTCGGTCCACTGTTCTCTTTTAACCAACATAGGATCATCTCCCTTTGCTCTGAATGTTGTCATCACTGGCCTGGGTGATGACTGACTCTTTAATTTCAGGTTCTGCCACTGACTTGCTCTATGTTTTGAGTAACTTTCTCAGCACCTCAGATGACCCATTAGTATAATGGATATAAATTGTACCTTGTGTGTACTGAGACTTGGTTAATATTAACTTGTTCCTCTGACAATTTTGTCTGGTCCTTTACTGCCTTTGTTTTCAGAACTCAAATGAGTCCAGACAGTAAAAACTTTCTTGATTTAGCTGGATACGCTTGTACCGTTTTCAGGCATGGATGTGAATTCTGGCATGGCTGGGCTTAAATTAAATTTTATTGAGTGATAGTAACAATGCAGCAATTCCTACTCCAGTGAAGTTTCATTTGTCTGAAGCAGGAGATCAGTTTAACCCTGCACTGACTTGGAACAGATTTTCCTAGTAAAGTTACTCAACCTATTAGTATATTCACACAAGTTTTAGACCAAGCTACTTACCCTGCCAGAACGTAAATGCCAACTGAGCAATTGAACAAATACTCCTGCTTTGTTCAGCAAACACCCTCATGCCACTCTCTTGTTGAATGCAAATGATTTACTCTTGGATACTTTCTATCTTTGCTTATGCTCCATATTATAGCCAAGTAGTTGAATGAGTGGTTGGTATTTGTTGTGTTTGCTTTTGGGTCCAGACGCATCATGAATTTTAAAGATAACTGATCAAGCAGGTCTCTAGCATACCCTGATGAATATTTTCCTTGGAATGTCTTACAGAATCTGCATAATGTGCTCCATCATAAGTATCCAGGGGTTATCTCTAACATATGCTGTACTGCTTTAAATGTACTATTACATTATTAAACATAATACTATTATTAAACATAATACCATCTATTATTATGGAATTATAATAGGCATGCAGTTATTGTATTGTAATGTTATTTGATAGTTATTTCTATGTATGAAATAAACTATGCTGATATAAACAGTTTTCCAGTACTAAAACTGTTCAGTTGAAAGAAATAGTTCTGTTACCGGACCCTTATTTGCAAACCAAGTCCTGCTCCTAACATGTGGGCTTGCTGATCCAAGAGCTCTCTTTAGACGGTGTTGAGTCCTTAAAAATACTTACATTCATTACTTTGCTTTTCTGATAAGAATGGAAATGTTTCAGGGAAAAACATTTTCACTAGCTGAAGATACCTTCTCTGTTGACACAGTGGAAAGGTGGTATATTCAATGAACAATTCTCTGAACATTTTTACAAGACGATAACAGATTAGGTCTGTGAGTTCAAGGTAGCTGTTCCAGTGTTTGTATTCTTCCTGATGTGAACACATGAAGGGTTTCTAAATCCAGTCACCGAGTATCACAAAACTTCTTGTCAGAACATGCAAAGCAGAGGAAAAAGTAAGCTGTTGTACCTTTGCTGTTGCATGTTGCTCGTCTTTGATCATTCCAGTATACAGCTTGTGGCATGCTGAGAGACGTTTTCTTTCTATGACTTGTTCGGATCTCTTGTTGACTACATGAGTTGGTCTCTTTCTTCAGCAGTTAAAAGCCAGAATCCAACTGCCTTACTTAAAGCAAAAGTTTAAAAATGTAGCAGTTCAGTTCATACTGCAATTGAGGCTTTTTACCAGGAGGCAGTATCTTTGTTTGCTGAGGGCACGGGTAAGTAGTGAAGGGAAAGGGGCGATCCCAGATGCTGAACTGAGACATTTGGAAATACTGTGGAAGAACAGAACAAGCTTCTCCATGATGCAAATTCTCCTATTAATGCATGGAGCTGAAGCTTGCATTTGACAAGTTGGGCCTGCCACAGGACCTTTTCCTGCATATGTTGGTACTTCATAATGCTTTAGCAAAGTTTCTTGTAGCTCTCTGCATCTTAAAGAGCTTGTGATCATGGGGAGGTTGGTTTCGGAACTGTTCTTGCAGGAAAATTTTTGTTTCAGATTTTTCAGTGATTATTGAGCCACACCCCACTTGGAGACTCAGCAGAAAGGAGGTCTGACTCAGTATTTATAACACAGAACAAGCCAGTTTTGTTTGGATGTTTAAAGTTACACCTCACAATGGTTGCGTATACCCTAGGTTTTTGTCAGGAAGGATTTATTGCATAATCAGAGTGATCCCCCTGTGCAGAGATATGGCAGTTAAAAACAGTGCTTGAAATAAAGATTCTATTGACATAGCTTCCCCTCCGCCCCCATCTTTCAACTTGCTTTTGTGGGCGCAGGTGTTTGGAGAGGGGTCTAACCCCTGAACTGACATATATGGAAAATCTTGTGCTGATCTGATTAGTATTAGAGTCTTGGTGTTGCTCTGTAACCCAGAGTTACTGTTTGGACTTCTTCCTGTTTTTCTGAACGCCAAGGACTGCGAATATCTTTACTTTGTGCAGCATTTGATGCAACTTTTTTTCTCCAATATCTTACAGGGTAAGAATTGCTGTTAGGTCCCCATGGATTTTGTATTGGTTTGTTTTGCAGTGGCATGGCTGCTCTTAAAGGTTTATGCCTTCTGCCAGATATTATTGCTGTTGTTCTTTCTGAGACTGAGAGCAGGATGGTGTCATCTTGTACTGCAATAAAGACTAAACAGAATATTTTTAGAGAAGGATACAGGATGGACTTTTTATGCTGTTCCCTGTGCTCACTTCAAGATACATGTGAACAACAGAGACTTGGGGAGAATTTCTGGCAATTATTTTTTTTTCCCACTAAGCATTGCATTGGGCTAGTGTTAGTTAAGATGGAAGGGATTAGTTGATGTTTCATTTCTTAAATCGCTGCTCTAGGATTTTCACTTCCATGACTTATGAATTGAGAGCCAGGGGAAGAATTTAGAAGTCAATACATCCTAGCTCTCCTTTGTCAGCTAGTTTAAAAAAAAAAAAAAACAAAACCAAACAACCACAACCCCGGGAATGAACTTGTTGAAACAGAGTACCAAATTGTTTGTACTTATGAGCACTGAAATATGAAAAGAGAAAGGATTTATTTTATATATTAAGAAAAAAGACTCAGAGAATGCTATATTAGGAAATGCTTTTGTTAGGAATGCACATTGCTTGAAAATAATTAATGGAAAAAATAATCATATTGGTGAGTAATCTGGCTTGAAGCTTCCTGAAGATGTTTGACAACATAACTAAAAGGAGAGAACCTTATTTGCTCTGAGTGCACACAGAAAATTTTGAGATTTAACAATCAGAAAGTTCTTTCAAGATGCAGTTTAGTTTATTTCTATGCTTTTAGACGTGTTTTTCGTCCTCAAATACTGTGGCTGGATAACTACATGGAAAAGCTGAATAGAGACTGCTTGAGACCACTGACTGAAGCACAGGAAACTTCTGCTGTCCTTGCATTGTTTCAGTCTGAGCAGCCTCCTCCCTGATCCAGTTGACTCACTCCATTGTCAGTGCATTTTCACATAGTTTGGAGATGGATTCTGGATTGCAAGTATGTACCAGTGCACAGAGGTGGCTGCCTTCAAGTAATCAGTCCTCAACTGAGGTACAAATCCGTGGAGATGACAGATGATCAGTGCCGGGTAACAGGCCTGATGGTGCTTGGAGTTGGGTGACGTTGCTGAAGATGCCAGACAAGATCTCTACCCTGGCTGGTGCTTTGAATCAGCCAGAGTGCCTGTGGGACCTAGCGCGGTGAAGCAAGCTTTTTGCATTGCTTTGTAGAAGTGTCCTCAGTAGATGGTATGTCAGCCTTTAACAGAGCCTCTGTCAATGGTTTTGAATGCAGAGCCTCACTGTTTTTTCTCCTTGTAGCAGCGATGGGCTATCCCTAGAGGTACACGTGCAACACCTTTGGAATCGGTGGCCTAAT